GTATGGGCATTAAAAAATCTTCGTAACTATCTGTATGGTGTAACAAATCTTGAAATTCATACAGATCATCAACCACTAACTTTTGCATTGTCTACCCGCAACCCAAATTCTAAAATGAAAAGGTGGCATGCGTTTATCGAAGAATTTTCTCCAAAATTTGTGTATCAACCTGGCAAAACAAACATTGTAGCTGATGCACTATCACGCCTTGAATTAAACAATTTATCAAATGAATCGGGAGATTCACCAGATGACGAATCACAACATTCTGCTCAAAGAAGCGATAATTTTTGTATAGAGGAAACGCAAAAACCGGTAAATCAATTCAAACAACAAATTATATTATGTAAAAATAAATTTACTATCCATGAACTAATTGAAACTTTTGGAAGTAAAAGACACTTAATTGAATACGACACAGTTGAGAACCTTCTCACAATTTTAAAGGAATATATAAGACCTAACTTAGTAACAGCGATACACTGCACAGTAGAAGATTTGCACGAGATACCAAGACCTCTTAAAGAAACATTTCGGAATAAATTTGTATATACGAGGTTATTTCCTATGGACCTTCCCAATAGTGAAGATCAAGCAGATATAATTGAACAAACTCATAATAGAGCGCATCGAAACCATGTAGAAAATATTAAGCAAATAGAAAAATTATACTACTGGCCTGAAATGCGAAAACGAATGAAAGAATACGTACGAAATTGTATAACTTGTAACAGAAATAAATATGACCGTCATCCTAAACAGATTCCNGAATACGTACGAAATTGTATAACTTGTAACAGAAATAAATATAACCGTCATCCTAAACAGATTCCGATAGGAAAAGCACCGACTCCGTATAAAGAGGGAGAACAGTTGCATATAGACATTTTTTACGCTCAAAAATTGAAATTCATTACGTGTATAGACGCGTACTCAAAATTTTTAATACTAAAAAATATTGAAGATAAATCAAATATTGAGGAAAAAGTTTTGGAATTGCTCCAAGCTTTCCCAGATGTGAAATGCATAACATTAGATAATGAACCAAGTTTCACAACACCCCAATTCAAATCGTTAATGCAAAGATTAAATGTGGAAATCTATTTTTGTGATCCACGTCACAGTACAACCAATGGACAGATAGAAAGAGTTCATTCTACAATAATAGAAATTGCTAGATGCATAAAAGAAGAATATAATATAGTTAGCGATTTAGAAGCAATTTTTAGAGCAAGTCAACAGTATAATTTGACAGTACATTCAGTGACAAAATTTAAGCCGAAAGATGTCTTCCACAATAAAATAAATCACGAAAATTTACCTGATATTCTCAAACAAGCACAGGAAAAAATGCTTGCGACTCATAATAGGAATAGAATAGAAAAACAATTCCAAACAGGAGAAATTGTTTATGAAAAGATTATAGGGGAAAGAAACAAACTTAAACCTAGATATAAGAGACAACAAGTAAAGGAAAATCTAGAAAATAAGATAATAATTAATAATAGAGATAGAATCATACATAAAGATAATATAAAATCTTAATTGCTTATAGGTTTTCAACATGATAATACTCATTATTACAACCTTAATCGGCTTAATAACAGCTGACATTATAGACTACACTCGACAAGATTAGAAATCAGAAATTCAGAAACTGAGTCAGAAATTTTAGTAATTGAAACATTATTAGGACAATTAAAACAAAAACCTATCAGACAAAAAAGAGGTATTAATGAACTAGGAACACTTTGGAAGTGGATAGCAGGTACCCCGGACCATGACGATTTTATAAGAATTAATGACAAATTAGACGAGCTAGTTTCAAATAATAATAAACAGTTTACAACAAATTCTGAAATTTTTAAAATTATTACGGAATTAACGGATACAGTACAGAATATTAAAGGAGACACAATAACTAAAACATTAAGAAGGAAAAGAAATCAATATATTATACATGAACTACAAAACATGATAAATACAATAACTTTAGGTAAAGTAGGAATTTTGAACCCTACTATTTTGTACTTTGACGAATTAAAAAATATAACATATTACCAGCACGGCACAATGACCATCACAGACCTAATGGATATTTCAAAATTTAAAATAGCCCAAAAAAATGATATAATTGTACTATATATAAAATATCCAAAAAGATTTTATTTTGTTGCTTTAAATAGAAAAGTTTTTTAAATGTAAAGTCTATCTTAAACTGAATCATTTTCACCTAAGCTAAGGGCTAAGGTTGCTCAATATATGGTTATCACCAGTACATCATTATCGACGATTTCGACATCATGCATATATACGGTGACCATCCGTTCTATTTTTTGTAGGACCGTACTGTTTTTCAAAGGTCGGTCCTGCGTAGTTTTTCAAACCTAAAAAACCTGAAAATGTACTGATTTTTTTCCAAGTGGCCTGCATTTGTCCCGCATTTTATTCGTTATTTTAAAATTATCGGACAATGGATGGATTTTTTCAAAAAAGTGTTTTTGGTACTTTTCGTAGCTTTTCTTCAATATCTCATGAAAAAATCTCCCAATCAACGTAAGCGACTTACAGCTCGAAGGGTATTGATGTGCCTCTTACCAAAATATATCACTTGTGGCGACTTCAATGAAAAGTATTAGTGCTACAGGCGACCATTTGCATTTTGTCGTTAAAGTCGAAAAAAGTGAGAGTTTCAATCAAATACTCAGTTTTATTTGATTATTTTTTTCATTAGTTTAAAAATTCGATAAAGGATATGTATCATTACAGTAAATTTTGAGCCAAAGATAATGAAAATCGGATTAGAAATGTAGATGCTATGAAGCGCAATCTGCACAAATTATATATTTTTGTAAAGGGCACATAAATACCTTTGTAACTCGTCCTTTACGTCGATTCATGACTTCGATTTTTGACAAATAACTGCGAAAAGTACCAAAAAACAAAAAAGGGTCTTGTTTTCGTTTTGAACGACTCAAAATTTGTCTATAAAATAATCTTTTAAAGATTTTCACTTTTCGTGTAAGCTATGGTCATTATAATATATTTTACTATACTTTTATAAGTATTCATGTAAAAAAAGATTAATATCGATGAAGAAAACGTGATTCGTTTTTGATGTTTAAAATGTATTAAGAATTTAGAATCATAAATACTCTTTTGATATTTTTGTACTACGTAAATATATGTAGGCATATTTTTGAAAAATTGTCCTTCATTTTGAATCCATATTTATGGTCACCGTATGTATACAACTTGTGATCGATAAAGCAGTTGTTGTATTTAACCGGAGGTTCTACCTCCGATTTTTGTTAATCAGACATTGGGCCCTAAGCCTTTTGACCACTTCGGTATTGTAATTTTAATGCTAAATGAGAAGAACTAAAAAGACCCTGCAAAAAATTGTGCCACTAATCTCTAAAGAGAGTATTACTCTCTATCGGGTACAATTGGGCATTAATTAGTCCCAACTATTCTCATACGGGTACTAATGGAGGTCAATTAGTCTATACTCATCCCTTTCGGGTATAATTGGAGATCAATTAGTCCCCAACTCATCTCTAACGGGGACTATTAACGATTTAGTGATATGTACGCACTTAGTCAATGAAATTTCATGTGCGGCGTTGGCACACAGAGAGAGTATTCGCCTAACAAAACTGAGCACCCCGGTTCGAATCTCAGCTGGCGCAAATTTTTATTTTTATTTTTTAAAAGTGACTAGTCGCTTTTTATACCCTTTCGGGTATAAAGGTGAACAATTAGTCTCTTCATAGGACATGCTCGAACAAAAGCGATCAGTTCATTCCATATAAAGAGATCAAAAGTGGTATTAGTCGCATGCTCCTTTGCGATTGCTCCCAGAGTCATCCCGGATTAGTCCCATTTTTTGCAGGGGAATGAAAGCTTTTTTGGCACTTTTATTTTTTTATTTGGCACATTTTGACACTGTTTTATCCTCAATATGGCACTTCATAGCTAAGTATAGCTGGCAACCCTGATCGTACTAGCTGAAATTTTTTCGCCTGCGCGATAGTATAAGTACATACCTATGTATGTACACTTTTAAGATGCATGCATATGAATTATGCGTGGCTTTTATTGTATCTCTGTATTTCCATAACTCCCTGTGTGTAATTCTTAACAGAAGTGCTTAAAGCTTAACAGTTTGGCAATTTAAACACTGTTGAAGTTGATTTCCGGTATTTCTCTTACTAGCACCTGCAACTATACTTCTTAATTACTACCGCCGGCAGCTTTAACAATTTTGTAGTGGTTGTACTTTCTTTGGCAAATTACGCTCTGTTAGCCATAAATTTTACTATGTTTTGACCGCCTTTGTATCAAGATCATATAGGGAATTCATTTATATTTTAAATTGCATTGTCATCGTGATTGGAACTATGCTGAAAATTTCCGGTCTCTACCTTGTCGGGAAGTTAATTTAAAATCGATTGCAAATTTCCGCGGGAAGACCAAGTTAAATAAAAGCTTGTAAAAGAGTCAAGCTGTTAATGGTTACTAAGTACATCAAGTACGGACATAACGGTTGTTTTTAAATAAATTAAAAATTTAAGATTCAGGAACAATAAAACACCTAATTTCATATTGTACTCGACCTCATAGTGGAATGACGTACAGTGTACCAGATAAACTAGCGCCTTCATATTTGAAAGCAGAATTTGATTTTGTTATTATTTTTTATTTAATTTCTGGTATTCGCTTTTTCGATTCTGGAATTAACCCTTGGTTTTGTTGCATACCTCTGTCCGATTTCGGCTTCCGCACTGAAAACATCAAGAATTATTTCTTTAATTTTTTATTCAATTCATAAGTTATCACTCAAAAGGGTTTTCATGAAAGTCAAATCAAAGAAAAGCTCATGATACAATAATTTTTAGAAGGTAGTTTCACTTCTTCTTCTTATCCGCCATGTTAGCTATCTGACAGAAAACGTGTTTCGTATTTTTTGTTGTACCAACTTTTTCAAAAGAAAAATACAGCATTTGACGTTGGAAAAATAAAACAAAGAAAAGCCAAACATATAAGTAGAGAAATTTTCGAATATTTTGTAATAATTTTCTTCATAAAAAATTAACTGCTGCTTTCGTGGATATTGCAACACACGGAATAGATGTAAGGACACAGCTATAAGAGCCACCGCACACCACAGACTTTATCGGCCGCCTATTTATATGATAGGGCTCGCTTGAAATATGTACATGAAGATGTATGGAGGTGCGCACATTACACCAGCTTAATCGCTCTGACCAATAAGTTGTGGTGCAATAGAAAGACTAGCGAGCACATCTAAATTGGCGGCCGATAAAGTCCGTGGTGTGCGATGGATCTAATCCATTATAAACAAGAAATATTGCTGTTATGTTTTCCTTTTTATGATTTTTATTCATGTGATTAGCAGTGGTAAAAATGTATGTATAAAATACGTATATTTATATTAAAAATTAAGTGATCAGTTATGAAACATATAAATCTTTACATGTTCTGTTAAAAAATATCTAAAATAACAAGCGATAATCCCCAAGTTCTATATCGTAGCAGTGGCCACATGCGCGTTTGTCACAGACACGGTTTATGTCAAAAATTTTGAAGTGAAACTACCTTCTAAAAATTATTGTATCATGGAAAAGCTATTGATAATAAATTGACAAATGAGAGCACCAAAATATAATGTCATTGCTATCTGGCACACTTTACATTATTTCACTATGCTCGACCCTACGTACAACCCGTGATTCAATAATAGTTGTTTTTTTTACCCACTTTCCAGTAAGATTCATGCTTTGGCGTTTTCGTACGCAAAAACTTGTAAAGTAAGGGAAACTTGGAGAGCAAAAATGGCAGCTGAAGTTGCAAGTTTTTACTGGATTTTTAACTACTATTCGAGGGTGAAAAAGATTCGAGGTTTTCGAGTTTAAGTGAATCCCCTAGCTATGTTTCAATTAATATAGAGTTGAAGTACTTCTAGATTTAGGAGCGCCTTAAACAACATCTTATCCCCATCGGTCACGGCAAAACTTACGGATCTGAGCGTCGACTCGCGAATGGTGGCGCTTGTAGACCAAATGCTTAGATGCGGGCAGTTCAGGCTGTCTGGCGGGATTATCGACATTCAAATTTGTACACAAAGTGCAGCCCTATCTGTTCTAGTAGGATTCTTGGCAGTAAATCAACTGCTCAGAGATATGGAGGAAAAGAGTACTGCAATGTCAATGCATATGCGGACGACCTTTTAATACTAGTGAATGAAAAATTCACGCAAATACTTTGTGATTTTATGCAGGTAAAACTAAGGAGGGTGGAACAGTGGGCCAACGACAATGGCCTGGAAGTAAACCTAATCAAAAACGGTAGAAGATTCCACGACTAAAGGCATCAACTCTGGCGATTATTGAACTTAAGGCTAGGTTTATGACCTATCGGATTCGCATCGCGCGATGCGATTAAAATCGCTACTAGCAATCAATTATACAAATTCGTATAGTGGTGTTTATGGTGCAGCGATTATTGTCACCATTAGATTAGCGAATCTGCGAATTATTTGGGATTCACACTGGCAAGAAACTAAATGGGCACTAGAAATTTGAGCATAAGCGGAAAACACCAACTCTCTACACCTGTAAATGTACATTGGAGCATGTCGCCTGCCGGAAATACGGGCAATTGCGTACCAACCCCGGAAGGGGTATAAAATATAGGTGGACGAGGACAAGACGAAGTATCTCCTGCTGACTGTCATAATTTCGGCCTTACAGGCTGTCCTGGCGGCAGTGGCATTTCTCAAGTACAAGTAAACAAAGCCGAATAGAGGGATAAAAGAAACGGTCAAAGCAATAAATTGTCTTATTAAAATTTTTCGATGGGAAACGTGATTTAGTCGAGTCTAACTGAAAAAGTAAGTAGCGGTACCACTGACGCCGCCACCTTTGCTTTCTACATTGTGCCCTGAAAGCTTTAAACTGGGTTTAGAAAAATTGTTGCTGTCTTCAAGAATTGGTACGACATCCATAAAATTCGAATACTTGGGTGTACAAAATAGTGATGTAAATTTTCGATACTTTCAAGTATCGATCGATACTCGATACATTGGAAACACTTATCGAATAAAAGTATTCAATACTCGACACTTTTACATTATTCCATTAAAAATCCCTTATACCAAAACCGATAAAAATCTTATGATTTTTAAATTTTATGTTCTTACTCATAGTGCCTCTTTTTTAGTAAAAATGTTTTCAATCGAAAACATTGCAGAAAAGCTACTGAACTGCTGTTGAAGCTTATTGTTACCTTTATATACTTACCATAAATAATTTTTAACTATATCAGCTATTTGTGCAATAACCACCTGCAATAAATCTTCTTGAATATATTGATTACCCTCAACTATGTCAGACGCTAAAAAACTTTTGTGAGCTTTCTTAGATTTTTGATCAAAATCACTCCAAAGAGAATGGCCGATTGTTTGAGCCTGATGCTTTGCAACTTGGAACTCAGCCTATCAAATACATGGAATGGAATTGTGGGTGGCCGGAAAAACTAAAAACTAATTTTTCCAAGCACTCAAGCAGTATTGCCCATTGTACTTAACGCCAAGAAACAGGATTTAGAGGAAAGGGATATGCAGGTGGGGGTGAGAATTCATTACTCCTCTGCAAACTTAACAGACTCCTTTATGAATTTTAGCAATTTGTTGATGGAAAGAGAATGTACGTCGTCCATTCTCAGTACATCCAACCCAAAAATGTACCATCTGAGTCTTGCGAAGGCCGGACAGCGGCAGAGAAAATGTTCTGTACAATCTTCGTCCTCCAAACACGATGTACACAATGGATCGTCTATGATGCCTATGGTGACCATATGTCGTCCCCATGGATTGTGCCTTGTAATCAGTCCTACCAGGGCTCGTAGATCACTCCTTCTTTGTCTGAGAAGAAATTTTGCTACCACCCTGTCAGGCCTTTTCAGGAAACACTTGGTTATTTTGCAGGTGTAAATACTGCACCAACGGCTCTCATGAGTTTTGCTTACATTCCTGGACTAACTTTGAAGAGGTTGGAGCGGTTTCCAGGGCCTTAAGAGTAGCTTGGCTGCACTTGGCTCACTGCAGATCCTGATTTTATGTCCGCGCCACCTTTGGCCAGTTATCCAGTCTGAAACTTTCAGTATTGCAAAGACTTCCGATTGAAAGACCGTTGTCATTGCACCGTAAGCGGTAAAGCATCTGAAGTTTCCGTCCAGATGCCATTCAGATCCAGTACCGTTTTCAGTCTTTGAGTCGTCAGTATAGAAAGTTTTCACCGAGCTTCCCAAGAGAGTGCCTGGATCTCTCCATTGTTCCCTTGTAGTAAATCTAACGACGTACTTTATACCAAAGGAGACTTTAGGTATCAGTTTGTCATTTGGTGCCAAAAACAAAGGATATTGCTCTGACAACCTTCTAAACAACTCTCTGTGCCCAGGGCTCCGATCGTCGTGTATTAGTTGTTGTTGCAGTTGTTGTATTTAACCGGAGCTTCTACCTCCGATTTTTGTTAACAAGACATTGAACAACGGGCCCTAAGCCTTTTGACCACTTCGGTATTGTAATTTTAATGCTAAATGAGAATAACTAAAAAGAATTACAGCTTTTTT